AGGTTTCAAAAATTGCTCTCTCTCTGTGTTAACTTTTTTTTTTTTTTTTAAGATTTATTTATTTTATTGGAAAGTCAGATATACAGAGAGGAGGAGAGACAGTGAGAAAAATCATCCACCCGATGATTCACTCCCCAAGTGATCACAACAACCGATGCTATGCCGATCTGAAGCCAGGATCCAGGAACCTCTTCCAGGTCTCCCACACCGGTGCAGGGTCCCAAGGCTTTGGGTCATGCTCCACTGCTTTTCCAGGCCACAAGCAGGGAGCTGGATGGGAAGTAGAGCAGACAGGACCTGAACTGGCAATCATATGAGATTCCAGTTAGTGCAAGGTGAGGATTTAACCACTGGGCTATTGCCCCAGGGCCCATACAGAAATTTCTGAGGTAATTGTGAGCACCCCAAAACCAGCAAGCTGATTCAGTTTCCTGCTAATGGATCCAAGGAAGTAGTAGATAATGACTCACCTTGGGCTCCTGCCCCCCAGGTGAGAGACACCAAGGCAATCTCAGGTTCTTGACTTCAGCCTGGCCCTGCCCTGGTTGTTGCTGGCATTTGGGGATGGAAGATCTCTTGCTCTGTCATTCAGGTAAAATGAAGAGAACAGTAAATCAAGAAGCTAGCTAGATGATGATAAGTATTCTGGAAGGTGGTCAGTGAAGACCTGGCCAGGATGTGCTGTTTTTTTATAACACTTGGTTCTTGGGTTATGTGGTATATTTGCGGGGGAAAGGAAATCTAGAATGCATAGCAGGTGATTTCATGGAATTCAAATGTGCGTGCTAGCGAGTGTGCCCTGAATTGATTTTCTTTTGTTGAGTGTGTTTCTTAAACTGTGGTCCTGGTCAGATGACTGGAAAGCCATTGGTTAATGACTTCTTATTGCCATTCAGTTTTCACACTTCTGGTTTATTTAGCTCTTTTACAGTTGAGTGGGTGCTTGCTTTTTTAATTAAAAAAGGCTAATGGGAGTAGGAAAGCTGCAGGTTAGTGTGATGGTGAAACAGAGGAGCCTGCTCACCCTGACTACAGACAACTTCAGCCAGGACTGGCTCCGTTTACCTCCAGAACACATAGCGATAATTGCTAAGCGTGTCAGTGGAAACCGACGTAGAAGTCCTCCAGCCTACACAGCTGTTTCCAGACTCTTATTTTCCACGTTGGTCTTTAACCACATGCTTACAAATTGTTCTGTAACTGTACACCGTGATGCTCAATGTTTCATACTTAACGCTTCTTTTTCTTCTGTTGGTTTATTTTCTTGGGGCACATTGAGTCAACAGTTTATTGGATTAGGGGTGACTTTTTTTTTTAACCCAACAGTGAATGTCTATGGCTGTATTGTTTTCCAAGTGATTACAGCAAATCTGTCTGTTGCCACTGAGGGAGGAGAGATGTGTTTGTTAGCAACAGTGGTGGCTCTTCTGTTAAATTGAAAAGTGTATTAGGACCGGATTGTCTTGTAAGTACCATTTCCAGTTGTGTTGAGCGTTCCTCAATCTGTTAGTTATGTTGTTCTTCTATTTGTGTATCTTCTGTTTGTGTACCATATCCTATGTTTGCCTAAAACAGGAATCTTGTACTAAGTTGGAGCCATTACATGTTGTGAATATTTACTCTGTACAACGGCTACAGGTGCCAGTAACTTACTGTTTGTGTTTTCTCTGTTGTTTCACAGTAACTTTTAATCAGATAGGGATTGTTTTAGACTTTTTAATGTTGTGTGTTGGTAATCTTGTACTTTTGATTGCTTTTTTCCTTTGCCTCCAAGTGAAGCAAATTAGCATGTTCCTGGAATACCCTGTTCTCCAGGGATATGCATGTGCCCTTTAAAGATCTAGACTGAGGTTTTTACAAAGACTTATTTGTTTATTTGAAAAGCAGAATGTCAGAGATTTTCCATCTGCTGGTGGCTCATTACCCAAATGCCCACAATGGCTGGGCCGGGCCAGGCTGAAGCCGGAAGCCAGAAACTCCATCCTGGTCTCCCACTTGGAAGCACTTGGGCCTTCTTCTGCTGCTTTACTAGGCAGCTTAGTGGGCAGCTGTATTAGGAATTTGGAGTAACTGGGGGTGACCCAGGTGGGAGTTACACTGCAAGGCCACAGCATGGTCCTTAGGCTGGTTTTATATCGTTGTTTAGTTCCCCTCAGATTGCTAGCCAGATACCTCAACACTAAGTCATTCTGCCTTTACCCTCTGAGGAATTAATGTTTCGACAAGCATATAATATGTCTTGTTTGCCATGTAACCTTGATTTTGTATAAATAAGTTCTTGGGATTGAGACAGTGTGAGGTCTCAGCATTAAATTTCTCTGGTAGTGATTTCCCGTGGACACAGGTAACTCCTGCAGGTTTTTCTCTGCTGAGCTAGTAATTAGTATTCATAGAAAGTTCATTTATCTGCTGTTATTTTTTTTAAAGATTTATTTATTTTTATTGGAAAGTCATATTTTGCAGAGAGAAGTAGAGACAGAGAGAATTTCCATCTGCTGGTTTACTCCCCAAAAGGCTGCAATGGTCAGTGATGAGCCAATCCAAAGCCAGGAGCCAGGAGCCTCTTTCAAGTCTCCCAAACAGGTGCAGGGTCGCTTTGAGCTGCACTTTACTGCTTTCCCAGGCCACAAGCAGGGAGCTGGATGGGAAATGGAGCAGCCAGGATCTGAACCAGCATCCATATGGATCCTGGGCATACAAAGCAAGGTCTTTAGACACTAGGCTACCGTGGTGTGCTCTATCTCCTATAATTTTTTTAAACATTTGTTTATTTTTATTTGAAAAGAGGATAGACTGACTGATATCTTGTACTTGGTGGTTCATTTCCCAGATGCCTGGGACAACTAGGACTAGGCCAGGCCAAAGCCAGGAGCTGGGGATTCAGGTCACTTGTCCCGCCTAGGTGGCATGGACCCAAGCACTTTGAAATACCATCTGCTAGTTTTCAGGGTTCGCGTTAGCAGGTGGCTAGATGTGCTAGAACCAGGCATTTGATAATGGGTGGGGCATCCCAAGCATGGATTTAGGCTGCTATGCTTAATTGCCTCTCCTAAATTTACTGTTTAATCCCAGTTTCTGTGAAGTTCTTAAAGTACCCTTATAGGTGAGAAGACAAGTCGCCAATGGCGGTCATGGTCACTTTGGAGTCCTTTGGGGTTAGGTCTGGGTTCTGGTTTGTCGCTGGTTTTGTGGCCTGCTTGGATTTTCTTGTAAACATGAATAATGATTCCTTTAGTGGCTCTAAAGGCTTTTGTCCTTCCTTCTGTTGAGTTGTCAAGCTGTAGAACCATAATGAGAGCTTAGCGCTGCTAGCTCCTTCGCAGTACCTGAATTTTGGGCTAGGTTTTCACCTTCTTCATGTGTGAATCCAGCTGTCAGCAGCCTGGTCCTTCCCCTTCTGATAAAACACCCCCAGCTGGAATTTGGGACCCTGTTGCCTGGGAAGAACAAACAGGTGAAGGTTATTTCCCTTTTGTAAGGTATCCACCCATCCCACCTTTGTGCTGCAGTACAGCTCACGTGGTCCACTCCCCTTCACAGCATCGCTAGGGGGAATTTGGTACTTAGGTCCACTTGGGAACATGTCAGAATGCAGATCTGGAGCCCCAATTCAGATATGTCAGGCAGAACCTTCGCCCTCAGTAGGGGGGTGTCTGTGTTTATAAACTGTTTTAGGTGGTTAGCTGGCCCCCTCAGGCTAGTAACATCAGGGACAGATCACCAGGAGTCCCTCTTTGATTGAGGACATGGAGGCCCTGAGAGCGCAGGGGCTTGTGCAGGATTGGGCAGTGCTGCCAAGGGCAGGCACCTGTGTGCTCCCAGGCGCTGCTGTGCTGTGTGTATCCAGGCCTCCCAGGTGTGTGTCCTAACAGGGTCCTCTGGTCCTTGGGCTGGCTGAACCCATCTTCCTCCTTGGCAGGGAAATCTCATGGAAGTGCCCCTCTGTAGGGAGAGCCTTGAGGTATGAGATGCAAGGAGGTAGACTGGGGCATTCCAGATGCCCACCCCTTCACTGATTTTCAAGGTTGAAGGCCAAGCTCTCTCAGTAGGGTGGTATCCACTCACCTGTCCATGGTGGAAAGGTGAGAAGAAGGCCAGGGCACGGTGGTGTCACTTCTGCACTGTGGGCAGGCCAGCCCATAGTCATACGATCCAGTTCTAAAGGAGTCTGACTTTGGTGTCCCTGCTTGGCACCATTTTTACAGAACACCCCACCCAGCAGCAAGAGCCAGTGCTCACTGACCGTTACCCAGTGGGCCTTGTTTGCTCCTGCCGTGGGGCCCTCTCTTCACCCTGGGAAGTGGGAGGGGAGCAGGGGCAGTGAGTAGTTATACATCTACCAGGATTGCCACCAAGTCCCTCTGCCCAGGCCGGGTCTCTTGGCCTTGCTCCCCTGTGTGGATGCTGAGCTTGGGAGTGGTGGTGGAAGAGAATGTGGGCAGGCTGACTGTACTGACACAGCTGGGTCATGTCCAGAGCTGCCTGCCCTTTCGTCCCTTCTTCTCAGGCACTGTGTTAGGCCGTCAAACCCTTGTGTCTTGGGATGGGTGGCAAGGCTGTGGGCTGTGGGCTGTGATGCTCACCCAGGGCTCAGCCATTGTTGCCTTGTCCTTGGTCAAGTCACAGGACCTTTCTCCAGTGAAACATTGGTGAAAGTCAGGTCCCGATCTGGAAGTAATGAAATCAGTGTCCACAAGGCTCCAAGTAGGCTTCCTGGCCCTTTGAAGACTCCTGAGAAAACAACATTCTCCTTTCTTTTGAAAACCTTCCTGGTCTTTTTGCTGGCTTTTGGCAAGCTGACATAACCCAATTGCTGTCTGTTGTTGTTGGCCTTGGTAGTGGGCCTAGACTCACACTGGTAGGGGACGTGAAGAATTGATTTGGAAACTTGGGAGTCTGTGTGTGTGAGCCCCATTTTTGCCCTTTCCTTGGGAAGCAGGTGCTGGGGACGGTGTTTTGAACCTGAGTTTGCCATCTCATCCTTTCCTGTGTTTCTGCAGGTCCTGCATCTCAGAAGATGCACTATTATCGATACTCTAATGCTGAGGTCAGCTGCTGGTACAAGTACCTCCTTTTCAGCTACAACATCGTTTTCTGGGTAAGTGATGAGCATAACCGCAGCCCCTTCTGTGAGTCCTTCAGTGTGTAGATGACACTGTGTGGCATACTGTGCTTGGCCAGGGCCCACAAGGCTCTGGGATAAAGTGGTGGTCAGGATAGGTGAAAGAACCATCAGTAACAATGGGTGAGGGATTGAAATTGGTTCTAGGGTCCCGGACTCAGCACTGAGAACTCAGGAAGGCTTGTCTCCCCATCCTGTCTCTTCTACCTGCCCCACTGAGATAGCTGCAGTTTGTGTGCAGGTGACTATGGGCCAGACCCCATTGTGCCTTCTGGGAGGTCATAATGGACAAGAGAAGCTGTCCTTCTGTTTCACCAAGAGTGATGTCAGCCTGCTGAGCTGCAGGGAGCAAGGCAGGAGAGGCTCCTGGGTATGATCAGAGAAAGGCATGTAGAAGGGTTGATATGGGGGCTGAAATCTGGGTACTAGTAGAAGGGGAGCTAAGTAGTAGACTGGGTAAGGAAGCTGCAGGCAGAAAGATGAACAATTGGAAAGGCACTGAGGCAAGAGTGAACTTGGGGTGTGGAGAGGACAAAAGGAGGACCACATGGCTGGAGCTGAGTAAGGGGACTCAGGACAGGGGGGTGGAGGAGCTGGATGAGGCAGTGCCATGGGGTCTTAGTTGGACAGTTGGACTCGTTGAGTTGGACTCATTGGAGGCTGGCTGCTGAGTGGGGGCACCTGGATGGTGGTACCATGTTCTGAGATGGGAATTGAGGACAGAAGGGGGAGCTTTACCAGCGTCATGGACCTGTTGCTTTCCTTGGTCCCCTGCATCCTGGAGCTGGAAGTCTTGGTCATGCTCAAGGGGAGGGGAACGTTGAAAGCACAAGGCAAGGAGAGGAGACGTGTGGGTTCCTAGAGGTTGCGGAGAGGAAGCCAGGAGGGTGTGTGTTGTAAAAGCCCCTCATGTAGACAGGAGGAATCAGCTGTGCCTCAGGAGGGGGATATAGGACAGGAAGCTGGCAGTGGCTGGGACACAGAGGAGGCTGCTGGTAGGCTTGGCCAGGGTCTGATCGTGCTTGGGCAGTAGTGAGGATGGAAAAGAGGGAAAGTGGCCTTCTTTTTTGTTGGTTAAGAATTTTAAACATTTATTTTTATTGGAAAGGCAGATTTACAGAGAAAAGCAGAGAGAAAGATTTTCCATCTTCTGGTTCACTTTCCAAATGGCTGAACAGCCGGAACTGAGCTGATCCAAAATTAGGAGCCAGGAGCCTCTTCCGGGTCTCCCAAATGGGTGCAGGGTCCCAAAACTTTGGACCATCCTCCACTGCTTTCCCAGTCCACAAGCAGGGAGCTGGATGGGAAGTGGAGCAGCCAGGATCTGAGCTGGTGTCCATATGGATTCTGGCACTTGAAAAGGAGGATTAGACAATTGAGGCTTGGTGCCAGCCAAAATCTGTGACTCTTTACAGTTTTGTCAAGGACTCTTGTTTTCAAGAAGGAAGAGCAATTTGACAGTAGTGGGAGACTACTGGGAGTTAAGCAAGATAACAGCAGGTGTGTCTTCCCGGTGAGGTGGGCCCAGGCAGAGGCCGAGCTTGATTCTGTTCAGGATGGTGAGGGGATGTGATCACATACACATACACGGGGACCACAAAATAGGTGCGGTTTTTGATTGTCTAGAGTCAGGAGGAGGCGGGACAGCCGAAGGGGGGCATTGCTGGGTGTCTGCCGTCTGCCGTTCCTGTGGGTCTGTAGATCTGTCTTTACCAAGTGCACTTCCTCAGCCCCGCCCAGCTCCTTGACCATGGGAGAGCCCTCCCCTGCTGTCATCCAGAGTCCTGCTCCCATCCCTAGCTGTCTGGGTCAGGTGGACAGCTCAAGGCTTGGGCTTTGGACCACTCAGCTGCCCTCCTCTGGCTCTGCTTGCAAGGGTGTGTGTCTTACCCGCTGACTTTCACCCTCGTTTTTTTTTTTTTTTTTTAAGTTTTTATTGTAAAGTCAGATATACAGAGAGGAGGAGAGACCAAGAGAAAGATTGTCCATCTGCTGGTTCATGCCCCACGTGGCTGCAACAGTTGGAGCTGAGCTGGTTCAAAGTCAGGAGCCAGGAGCCTCTTCAGGGTCTCCCACATGGGTACAAGGTCCTAAGGCTTTGGGCCGTCCTCTACTGACTTCCCAGGCCACAAACAGGGAGCTGGATAGGAAGCGGGGCTGTCGGGATTAGAACCGGTGCCCATATGGGATCCCAATATGGGTAAGGCAAGAACTTTAGCCACTAGGCTACCGTACTGGTCTCACCCTCAATTTTGTTTTTGCGGCTACAAAATTCCCAGTGCTGCTGCTGTGCCTCAGGGCCGTGTGACCTTCACATCTTCAGAGGCTTCTCAACAGATTTTCTTCTTGGGACCTCAGTTCACCTTTGCATCACATTTGCAATACCACATGCAAATTGTTGAGGTTTTAAATTTTTATTTATTTATTTTTAAAGATTTATTTATTTAAAGAAATGACGAGACAGATTTCACAGCCACTGGCTCACTCCACAAGTGAAGAGCGCGGGCTTGCCAGGCTGAGGTGGAATCGGGAGCTTTGCCTGGGTCTCCCATGTGGGTGACAGTGACCCCCACACTGGGGGCATTTTCTGCTGCTTTTTCATAGGACTCAGAATGGCACCCAAATGACATGCCTGCGTCGTAGTAGATGGTGTCAGAACACCAGCCCCCAAATTGTGGAGCCCTTGAATCCAGAATTGGAGTTAAAAGGTGCTGCACTGTTACCAGGGGCTTTACAGAACTGGCAGAGTGTGTGCGGTCGAGTTAATCATTTTTCAGTTAACAGGAGCTAGGGCAGAACAGGAAGGAACAAACAGGAACAGTCGGAAAATGACACATGAAAAAGCTTGGTTAGAAAATGCCAGACACCTTGGTTGGGGTGACAGGCTGCCTGGATCCTCCTGCTAGGTGCTTGTTGGGTGCCTATTGGAGATTTGCTGTTGCGGAGGGGGAGGTCCTGGAGTGGGGGTGCTTGGCAAGGCTGCTGGGATGCCTGGGGCACTTGTGTGCCAGCTTGGAATCACCTGAACTGAGTGAACTGGTGAGCCGTGTGCTTTCAGTGTGAAATACAGATCTCAATAATCTGTTACCTGTTTTGTAAGGTTGCTTAGTTGCTCAAAGCAGTTTTTTTCTTTTAAATTGTAATAATTTAAAAAAATGCAAAAATAGAATAATGTACTGAACATTCATATTCCCACCATCTGGTTTCAAAAATGATCCACTCCTAGCCTGGTCTGTGTCCTTAGTATTGCCCTTGGGTGATTTTGAAACAAAGCCTAGACAGGTGATTTCACACCAAGGCTGTTTGTATTGGTTTTGTTTGGACGAGTTCACGGTGAGCAGTGGAGGAGAAGGGTGTGTGGAGCATTTGGAGGGACACGGCTCAGCCAGCCAGTGTGATTTTGCAGAGGCAGCCTGTTGTTGCTGTGATCATGAAGGTGCCAGGACAAACATAAGGTTTTATTTAGAATTTGTTCCCATTTAGAGTTATTTTCACAGTACATTCCACAAGGGGAAATAACTGTGGCGCTGTCACCATTTAAAAAAAAAAACTGTCTTCCTCTTGGCTTTGGGACTGAGATTCCCCAGGGTCAGTTAACACCTGCCTTGGGGTGAGAATTCCATTATACATGAAGCATGGGCTGGGACTTCCTGGGATCCTTATTGCAGGCGTGCCACCGAAGACAGTAATTCCTACTGAAGGCATTCGGGAATGCTGCCACGTTTTACATTCTTTAAATCAGTCTTTGGTTGTGCTCTACCTTGTTGTAGTGCAGAACCTCACTGCGATTTAGGAAATGCAAATCAAAACCACAGTGAGATGCACGTTACAACCATTAGGAGGCAATTTATTAAACCAGAAAACAAATATTGGCAAAGATAGGGAGATGTTGGAATCTTGGGTAATGTTGGCAAGAAATTGTTGGTGTAACTGGAGGCCCAGCTTGATAGCTGAGGGAGTTAAGCCATTACCTGTGGCACTGGCATCTCCCAGGAGTGCTGATTTGAGCCCTGGCTGCTCCACTTCCAATCCAGCTCCCTGCTAATGTGCCTGGAAAAACAGTGGAGATGGTCTGAGGGCTCAGGCTGCTGCTACCCATGCCAGGAAACTCAAACGGAGATTCTGGTGCCTGGCTTTGGCCTGGACCAACCCCAGCCGTTGTGGCCACTTGAGAATAGATGTTCTTTCTTTCTTTCTTTCTTTCTTTATTTCTTTTTTTTTTTTTTTTCCCCCGGTAACTCTGCCTTTCGAATATATGAGTAATTCTTTTTTTTGAGTAAATATTTTTTTTTAAACATATGAGACTGCTACAGAAAATAGGTTGATGGGGCCAGTATCAGTAGGTTAAGCTGTTTCTTGGGATGCCTACATCCCATTTTGGAATTCTGGTTCAAGTCTCCAGTTCACCTTCTTGCCAGTGTGCCTGGGAGGGTGTCCACAGGTGTTGGTCCAAGTGCTTGCCCCTGCTGCCCCATGGGAGACCTGCATGGAGTTCCTAGTCCTGACTGTGGCTTGGCCTAGATCTGGCTGTTGGGGCCATCTGGGGAATGAGTCATAAATGCAAGATCTCTCTATTTCTCTAATAAATACAACTGAGGAATCAAAATCTCACTTTGACTAGGAAGCAGGGAGCTGGGAGGGGCAGCGCCCTGGAAGGAGTGGTGCCGCACGGCCCCGTGTCCTTTTTCACAGCCCTCCATGTACTACAGGCTTTGACTTTGCTGCGTGAATCCTTCCGGGGTGGCTGAAAAGATGTCTGCAGCTTGAGGATTGCTTCCTGCCCCAGGCATTCATTGACTTTAGCATGCAAAGGCTCAGATAAAGCCCTTACCTGGACCTGTATCAGAGATGGAAGAAAAATGTACAACCGAGACTTTGTAAAGTTCAGATCATAAACCTGTGTTACCAGAAAAGAGAGGCCTCTGGTTGTCTTTATTTATTTTGTTAAAGATTTACTTTTTATTTGAAAGGCAGAT